TTTTTTTTTTGTGAGGAAGATCAGCCCTGAGCTAACATCCATGCCAGTCCTCCTCTTTTTGCTGAGGAAGACCGGCCCTGAGCTAACATCCATTGCCAATCCTCCTCCTTGTTCCCCCCTTTTTCTCCCCAAAGCCCCAGTAGATAGTTGTATGTCATAGTTGCACATCCCTCTAGCTGCTGCACGTGGGATGCCGCCCCAGCATGGCCCAACAAGCGCTGGGTCGGTGCGCTCCCGGGATCAGAACCCGCGCCGCCAGCAGCAGAGCGCACGCACTCAACCGCTAAGCCACGGGGCCGGCCCCTGAGGGGGTTTCTTATTAAGAAACGTCACATAATCGGAGGGAACAGCCATCACCTCCAAAAGCCTGGAGGCTCTAGTAAATAAGAGATCTCTGCACAAGCAATATCTAGTCATCCTCCTTGTCTTCTTTACCCTGTCCAATTTCTGTCTTCATTTAAAGAGGCCTCCGGGGACCTCCACTAGCTCATGGGAAAGTTAACTTATTAACCCTTCAGCAGAGTACTGCCTGCTAACAAGGTTAACCCATATTTCCCTTAATAGCAATAGGCGGCTGTAACTACAGCAAAAGGCCGTGCTCCTCAGCTTTGCTTAGAGTAGGTTACCAACGAATGGCTCGTTAAGATGTTCGTGTGTGTGTGTGTGTGTGTGTGTGCGCGAGCGAGCGCGGGGGAAGTCCGTAACATAGATGTCACCATGCTTTGGTTACTGCAGGAAAATGGTAGAGCTGTTCTTTCTCTCTCTCTCTTCGGATTATTCACACTCCAAACATTCTGCCTGCGCGAAGCAGTCACTTCTCCTCGAATACACGGCCACAGTTCTGAAACGGTGTGTATGCTCAGCGGCACCCACCGCTCCCGGAGTGTCAGCCCAAATCCGGAGCTTTTCCCTTGTCAGGGACTGAGGCGCTGGGGTCCCGGTGGCGCGCGGACCCACCACAATCTCCCCGAAGCGCCGATGCATGTCAGCCGGAAGCACTGGGCTGTCGATTTCTGGGAGTCCGTGGGCCCCGGACAGGACCCCAGCTTACACCGCCGCGAGCGGGAGCGCGAGGGAGCGCCGCAGCACAGGGAGTGGGGCCGGGCGGGGGCCGCGTCGCCCTGCCGGGGAAGGGGCGTGATCGCGGAATGCTCGCGGCAGGGGCGAGCGCAGGCGCAGGCTGCAGGGCGGCGCCGCCACGGGGCCCGGGGAGGGGGCGTAGGGGTGCAGAGAGGGACGGCTCGGCGGCAGGCAGAAGCGGCCGCGGCTACTCACTCAGCCAAGACTCCAGGCTCTCCCCTTCCGCCTCCGCCATATTGCAGCCACCCGGGCCAGTCCCGCGGCCTCAAACCTCGCGAGAACCTGGAAGAGACCAGCCGGGGCGGAGCCTGCATGGGGGCCTGAGAGGAGCGAGCGCCGCCACCGAAGGTCGCGCCAGACTGCAACGGGTAATGGGAGGGCTAATGTTTCCTTTTGACTCTTCCCTTTGGACCTTGGAGTGACTCTTAATGGGGTGATGCACAGATTTAGGACCCAGTGGAGCCTTTCCCCGTTTCCCGTCACTCGCTCAGGCACGCCGAGGGCAGTCTCTGTGGGGTCCTCGTGGCCAGCCAAGATGGCTGCTCCCGCGGTGAAAGCTGCGCGAGGGTGGTTGGGCCTGGTGCTGAGCGTGCGGAGTGCTGTCCTGCGGCTTCCAGGGTGAGAGGGCGGCGGGCAGCTGGGGGACCGCTTGGGTCTTCACTGAAAGACCTATGGGGAAGGAAAAGGGCCACAGGCAAGCCGCGCGGGGAGCTGGAGCGAGCATGGGGGCCGGGATATCTAGGTCCAAGTTGCTTAACTAGCTGCGTGACTTTGGGCCTATCTGAAAGTTTAGTGATTGCCCCCCGCCCGAGGGGGTTCGAACGCGGAGCTGAAAGTGCGATACGAAAGAGCTCAGAGCTGAGATTTTTTGTGTTGGGAGATGAGGGGAGAGACGCATAGGCGGGGCACCTGTCCTTAGGTTCAGGAGCCTCTCCTTACCTTTTGCACTTGACGAGGAGGAGACTTTCCTTGCCTGTTTGGGGGAGGTCCTCCTCCTTCTTGGGATAAGAGCCAGAATTATTGCAGTTCAGGTTTGGCTAGCGGTCTCCGCGCCGCTCTCACTTGTCAGCGGGTTGGCAAACCTGCCTATTGTGAAGTCAAGCTTTTTCACTTGTGGAGTCAGCTTTTGTCCGCCTCTTCCTTTCCCCCCCCTCCCAGGCTCACCCAGGTGAGGTGGAGCCGCTATGGTCCTGAATACAAGGACCCCCAGATTGACAAGGAATATTACCGCAAGCCCTCGGCCGAGCTGACTGAGGAGGAGAACTATGAGCGGGAGCTCAGGAAGACTCGGCTTATCAAAGCTGCCCCAGCGACGAGAACAAGTTCTGTGTTTGAAGACCCAGTGATCAGGTTAGATGGAAACAAACACTTGTTCCACGGACTGGGGCTATACCTGGGAGGGTCTACAGTAAGGATTCTGTGATACAGCCTTGCAAAGCTAAACGTGTTGCTTTTCTTCTTGAAGTAAATTCACCAACATGATGATGAAAGGAGGAAACAAAGTACTGGCCAGATCCCTCATGACACAGGTAAACAGTACCTCTCTCTGTCATCTTTCTCTTCCCTATAGCTTTGTACTTGGCTCTTCCAGTTTAGAATGAAAAAGAATGGATTCTATACCTGTCATTAAAATTAACTTTATGGGGGCCGGCCCGGTGGCTTATCGGTTAAGCGCGCGTGCTCCACTGCTGGCGGCCCGGGTTCAGATCCCGGGTGCGCACCGCTTCTCCGGCCATGCTGAGGCCGCGTCCCACGTACAGCAACTAGAAGGATGTGCAGCCATGACACACAACCATCTACTGGGGCTTTGGGGGAAAATAAATAAATAAATAAAATCTTTAAAAAATTAACTTTATGTAAGTGTGGTGGTGGAGGCTTTAATGAAGTCCTGCAGGAGTCAGCAACTGCCATTGCACCCCCACATCACAAATCTTAGCCCACTCTTTCTGTCCTAGTCCAAGAAAGGCACTTAAGGGAGGCACTGAAGAACTTTGTTTTAGAAGTGCTGAGGCAGGAGCTGCACAGCTATAGAAGAAGAATGAGATGATGGGAGTAAAGAGCAAGGTACTAGCTCAGCCCAGTAAACACTTAGGGAACCTGGGGTAGCCTCTTCCACTGTATCCCTTTGCAGACTCTGGAAGCTGTGAAAAGGAAGCAGTTTGAAAAGTACCATGCTGCCTCTGCAGAGGAACAGGCAACCATCGAACGCAACCCCTACACCATCTTCCACCAAGCCCTGAAAAACTGTGAGCCTGTGATTGGGCTGGTACCCATCCTCAGGGGTGGCCATTTCTACCAGGTGAGTGGTCAGGGCCTGAAAGCAGGGCTGCCCGCATGTGAAACAAGATGTGGGGGTGCTTGGGGGTAAGAGGACCCAGAGTTGGATCAAGATTGATAGCTTTCTAGGGACCAGGGACTGTCAGGATCTGCTCATCTGAGTCCAGTAGTGTAAAAATCACAGGCAAAAGATGGAAAAGGAAGGGAGCAAAGAAGTATCCAAACGAACTCTTCTGGAAGCCCACCCCACCCTCCTTCTGTCCAGCATCATGTGTTCTAAGCTGTAAGCTTCTCGTGGTGAGGGACTATGTTTATACCTCATCTTTATACACCAGTGTCAAGCATAGTGCTTGACCCATAACTGATGCTTCATCACCATTGGTTAAACTGAACTAGGTGTCTCTATCATAGCATTTAATTATATTTCATTGTCATAAGTTGGTGTTCTGGTCTTTTTTCAATGTAAAACTTCATAAGGGTAGAGACTTTCTCATTAATGTCTGTGTCTCTAGGGTGTCGCATGGTACCTGGCACATGGTGGGGGCATAGCAAGAGATTCTTGGACAAGAGAGTCTTGTTTTTAAGCACCCATGATCTGAGTTAGCTGAGTCGCCCCAGCTGACAGGCTTTTCCCAATTGGTGCTTGTATCAACTTTGCTGAGCTTCCACTTAGGGGTGAAAGAGGTCAGTGCTAAGTGAGTATGTGCTCATTAATGTCTGCTACACTGAAGTCACCTAGGGGTCAAGGAAGCTCAAAGAGGACTAGACCAGCCCCTTGCCTCAGGAGCCTTGCCAGGGCTGGCCCAAAGGGAACCTGTGGCTACTCCTTAGAGTACAGGGAGGTAGGAGGCTGCAGCCCTGGCAAGTTCTTGGACCAATGTGCCCACATCCTGTCTTGCCCAGGTCCCTGTGCCGCTAGGTGACCGGCGTCGTCGCTTCCTGGCCATGAAGTGGATGATTACTGAGTGCAGGGAGAAGAAGCACCGGCGGACGCTGATGCCAGAGAAGCTGTCACATGAGCTGCTGGAGGCTTTTCACAGCCAGGGCCCTGTGATCAAGAGGAAGCATGAGATGCACAAGATGGCTGAGGCCAACCGCGCTCTGGCCCACTACCGCTGGTGGTAGAGGGAGGATACAAGCTCTAGGAGGAGCCCAGGGCTTTCTGCTGTGAGAAACAACATGAGCCCCTGCCACGCTGAAAAATACCTGTGGGTTAAGGATGTAGTTCCTTCTCGAGGGCAGGGAGGCCTCACAAAAAGGATGGAGCAGCATGTTTATTGCTTGTTACTCCTTCTTTCTTTGGGGCTAGAAGTTGCTCTCCCTGCCCCGTCTCCTTGCAGAGGGGGAACATATCAACTTGGGTTTTCCCCAGGAAACTTAGGGCCCATCCAGCTTTCTCTTCCCTCAGCTTGGGGTGGACCTTTGGATGATACGAAAGGAAGCAGTTTTGGTATCAGAAGAGGTTTATTAGAAAATCCTCACCCTGAACTAGTGTAGCATGTGATGTGGTACTGCCATTCATTAAAACCGACTGGAGGAAATACACTTACTTCCAAAGTAGTCCTTGTACAAAACGTATAAAAAGCAGTTCCTGGTGTGACTTATGCTCTGCTTCTGCCCCTTGACATCCCAAAGCATCCCACCAATGGCTATGGGTACCCATTTTACAGATGGGGAAACTGAGGCACTGAAACAGCTATTGAACTGGTGGTTACACAGTGCAGTGGTTGTTAGGAGTTGCCTTTCTCTGCCTGGTGGAAGGTGACGTGAGAGAGAGGCTGATGGGACAGTGGGGGCACGTCTGTTTGGTGTCTTCCCCAATCCCTGAATGGGGGAAGGGAACGTGCTCAGGGCAGGACCACCATGTAAGTGGGAAACATCTCAGGAACTGTTGAAAGTCTGGAAGGGAAAAAGTCTTTGGGAGAGGCAGACTCCACTTCCAGGTTGGGAGGTGGGTAGAAGAAAGGCCAGTGCTGCTGGTGAGGAAGCCTGATCAGGAGGCCTAGTCAGAGACCTCACTATAGTAATACTTGTGGGCCGCTGGGGTCGTTTTCCAGCCAGCTGCCCGGAACTCAATGATCTCCAGCAGCAGCAGCTGGGCCAGGGAGCTGAGGCCAGTTGGGAGCAGGAAGCCATCCCGGATCAGGACAAAGAGCTCATCCATGCGCTGCCTGTTCATCTTCTCCAGCTGCTCCCCTACCCGGTGCAGCTGCAGCACCAGGCAGTCCACCTGCAAAGGGGCAGGGGGAGGTGACCCCAGGCAGGGCCAGCTTATCACACAGAGCAGCCATTTACTGAGTGCTTGCTGTTTGCTAGGCACTGCGTGTGGCCCTGCACACACATTTCCCCACTTCATCCTCACGCCACCCAGTGGGTATTATCTACATCTTATGTGAAAGGCAACAAGTTCAGGGACTTGCCTGAGGTCTCTCATCTGGGCCAGGCTGGACTCAGGCCCTGTCTCCAAACTGTGCTTTTTTTTTTTACTTTTGGTGAGGAAGATTGGCCATGAGCTAACATCCGTTGCCAATCTTCCTCTTTTTGCTGAGGAAGATTGGCCCTGAGCTATCATCTGTGCCCATCTTCCTCTATTTTATGTATGAGATGCTGCCACAGGATGGCTTGATGAGCGGTACAGAGGTCTGTGCCCGGGATCTGAACCTGTGAACCCCAGGCCGCCGAAGTGGAGCGCACGAACTTAATCACTATGCCACTGGGCTGGCCCCCAAACTGTTCTTCTGAACTCCACTTTTCTACCTCCTCCACACTGCCTGAGCCTGGTTTGGTTTCTGGGCCATCTGTATCCACAGATGTATCCTATCATAGGTTGGCTTTCCTGCTGGGAAGGAAGCCTCTGAGCCAGTAGGTTTTGGCTGCTCTCTATTCTGGATCAATTCCAGACCTGGCCACTTGTCCTGTAACTGACAGGCCTTAAATGCCCCCATCAGGCTACCGCCCCAGGAAGTGATGCCCTCAAAAGCCTCCATGGCCAGTGTGCTGGCATTCTGAGCTGAGCCAAAGACTGCCCACTTCCACAGCCTTCCGTGCCAGGGCCACCCACCTCCTCCTCCTTGCTCAGACTGTCAGGCTGGGCCAGCCGGAAGAGGCAGTCATAGACAGGGTTCACCAGGGCCATCATGGGCATGTTGTTCACCTGTAGGGGGAGAGCGGGGGCCAGAGCACTGGCTTAGTGGCTGTGGGAGACAGGCCGTTCTGCTGCACAGGGGGGCTGCTGGGGCCTCACCCTTAGGTAGTCAAAGATGTTGCAGATAAAGGTGACATAGCAGACCCAGCCCTGCAGGGAGCGAGCTCGCAGCTGCTCCCGAGCCTGGTACTCCTGCTGCAACCGGTTGAGGAGTCCGCGCCGGAAGACACTCTGGCCTGCTTGCTTGCTCTCTGCCTGTGAGTCAGGGAAAAGACGGTGAGTGGCTGGGGGCGGTGCCATTGTAACCCCACCCAAGCTACCACGGCTGAGGACCCGCCTGTCCTACTCCTTTCTCTGCCTCTGAGGGAAGCCCTTTGCATCTCTCCCCTGCTGGCCAGGTCTCTGCCCACTCCTGAAGCACCTTCCTCAAAGCATCTCCCCTCTTCTCTGCCAACCCCACCCAACCTGAATGATGGCGTAGCACATGCGTCCTGCTTCTTTGCTGAACACACAGTCCTGCAGAGAATGGTCCACAATCACATTGGCCACTTTTTCCAAGTCCACAGCACCTGGATCTAGGGTAAAGATAGGCACGGAGTCTAGAGCTGTTTAATTATCACATTTGCCTCTACTTGCTTTTTTTTTCTTTTTTTCCTGAGGAAAATTGGCACTGAGCTAACATCTGTGCCCATCTTCCTCTATTTTATGTGGGATGCCTGCCACAGCATGGCCTGATAAGTGGTGTGTAGGTCCATGCCGGGATCCAAACCTGTGAACCCCGGGCTGCCAAGGCAGAGCACGCAAACTTAACTACCAGGCTACAGGGCCGGCCCCTCTACCTGCTTTTCAGAAGGATTTGAGATGTTTACAAAAGAGCAAAGAGCACTCCCATTATATGCTTACATTGAAAGAGACCAGAAAACAGGGAAGGGGGACAGTAACCCCACACAAGAGCAGCTCTAGCTGTGAGCCTCCTGGTGGCCCAGTCAGAGGAAATGGAAGATAATGTGGCTGTTAGAGACTAATCAAAGTAAAAATGCTAGTTTTTTAGGACACACATCTTTTCCTGCCAGTAGGTTGAGGAAGAAGCACCAAAAAACAATGTCTTCAACAGCAATTTTATGGAAGAAAGTGTTCTTATAATACACACACATGAACCCCTGACAAAAGTGGGCCAGGCAGGGCCTCCCGTCCCATAGGCTCACTTGGCACTTGATGGGCATTGCTAATTGTTAGCTGAGTCAACCTTCTGTCCTGAGTGCTGCAGGAAGGCATCGGTCCAGGACAATTACTGTATCTCCTCTGCCAAGCAGAACACTCCATCCTCTGTCCCAAGTCAGGCAGCTCTGCACATTCAAGAGAGCTGACTGCAGCAACGCAAAAACCAGGTCCGATATAAGGACTTAAGGGGCAGGAACTGTGTTCTCTGTGCCCTACCCCTTTCATGGGTACTTAAACTTTAAAAAAGGCTTTACAGTCTGACAGGTGACTCTGATTCATACTCCCAAATATTGGCCTAAATGTAGCTTGTCTTCCAGTTTGAGAATTATGTTGCCGACTCCTCCGAAAGCGAAGGGAGAGGGCTGGGCATTCCTGGCCTAGGGCTCAGTCCTCTAGTCCTGTCCCCTTGGCCCCTTCTCTGCAGCACTGGACCCAGGCTCAGGAGGGCTCCCCATGCTCACCTTTGATTGCTGTCTTCAGCAGCTGCTGGGTCTCTGCATCGAAAGATTGGATTTTATACTCCTCTCTACCAGGCTCCCCCATGACCATCCAGCCCCAGCAGCTCTTTACTGGGGTGGGACTAATGACAGCACCTGGGGAGGAGAGGCGAAGGGAGAGGACTCAGGTGTGCAGCATGGGGCCGGGGTTCCCAGTCCTGCAGGCCCTGGGTGGGGCTGACCAGCGCTTGGGACAGGTGCTCCTGGGAGGTTCATGACATTCAGTGGTTGGCTGAGAGTCCACCAAGCTTGGCTTCCGGTGGAGACTGGCCACCAGCCAGGCACCTGCTGCTCAGTTTAGGAACCCCTGTAGTTTCTGGGATTACATAAGAGTAAAGAGATGAAGGGCGAAATGTGCCTGTCCCAACAGGAGGCAGACTTATTCCCAGCTGATACCCAGGTTGGGATGCGGTGGCGTGCGCTGAGCTGGGGGTGTAGATAGGTGGATATTAGACACTTGCCCTACCTATATAAACCGGCCTGGAAGCTGCTGGCCCAGCACGATTCCGGGACAGTGAAAAGGCTGGGGGCTCTAAGCTGCGGACAGCTCTGTCTCACCAGGGTTCCAAGCCTCTCTCCCCGACCTTCTCCCTCAGCGTCAGTCCGAGTCCTTCGCAGTCCACAAAACCCACCCCTCCAGCCCTCGGGTTGGGGCCAGCCTGCCCGGGTGGGTGCAGGAGCCTTCTCTGCCGCCCCACGGACGGGCGAGCCCGAACTCCCCCCGTCTTGGCCAGCTTCTCCCCAGGATGGACTGGTTAAATTGGCCTCCCAAGTGGCAAGAACCCGGCCCTGCCCAGTCAGGACTCCCAATTACTGAGCTCCATTCTGGACCCTTCCTTGTAAAGAGGGGAGCGGGATGACGTGTCCTCCAGAGGTAGTCCCCGTTAGAGTCCCCTCTCCGGACTCGGTGCGTCCCCCCGGTCAAAGGAGACGACCTTGGGGGTCTCCAGACCCGGGCAGCTTCCCTAAGCCCGGAACGCCCTTCCCAGCGGCGCAGGGCCGGTAGCGGACGCCGCCGTCCAGTGTCCCACGGGCGGGAGAAGGGGCGTGAGCGCCGAGACCCACCTGCCGGGCCAGCGCCGCGCCCGCGTGCCGGGAGGCAGCTCGGCGGGCATGGTGCGCGCGCCCCG